ACAGTGAAATCCCAAAACCTCCAACCTAGTCCGGACACTGCTTTTAATGGCTATGCGCTTGTACATTCAGTTTCTGTAGAGAAGTAGACAAATTGTATGACAATAGCAATTTGGCAGTCGCGCAAGGATGACCGAGGTTTATACTTTCTTTCTAGGAGCCGCGCGTACTTGAAACAATTTTGATCACAACGCGTGTGAGATTTTAGGGTAGTATCACTCTTAATTGACGCGTCTTCCAGGTATAAATGGAATAACATACCATCGGAATATCGCGTGGAACTGCGTAATGGCGTTTTCCGGGCATTAGAGGCATCGGTGATCGAGGTATGGCGATGTCACCGACGGAGACAATGCAGGCAGGCTTCAATGCGGCTTTGTCGAATCTAAACTGGGAAGAAGCATGGAAGGCAGAACTAATCGACCGCACTGCTGCATTTGCGGCAGATTGTCTTCGTCGGTGACTCCTTTTGAAGTTAGTTGTTCTTAACGCTACTATCGAAAGGATACTGTTGAACCATGTGCTCGCTGCGTCGTCGCAATGATGGAGCATGAGTGGCCTCAGAATTGGCCGGAGTTGAATGGTCAGCTGCGAGAGTTGTCAAGACAAGGTGTGTTCATATTTAGCTTCTCTTGAATGCTTCCTGATGGTTCCTTCTGTGAGATCAATGTTGTCTCAACAAAGTATCGATCATTGCTGGTGTATTACATAGGCATGCGTCATACTTATCCGATACATCCAGTTCAACGTTTTGCTATTGGCCAAATCACTGAACTGACCAATAGCAAAACGTACCTGTACTGATTGAGTGAGCCGAATAAATCGGTTGAACTTAAGTACGGCGCATACCATATCCACCATATCCACCATTGTTCTTTGCTGTATTCTTTGCTGATTCTAGGATCTTTGCACTGTGCCATTGTTTTCGCCATTCTCCGACGGGTAGTTGAGAATGTTGCTACACTAGCATCCGTTGCTAATGCAAGGCGACGCAAAGACATGCACAGCGCAATCGTTAGTCGCTTTGTATTCCCACCTTTTATCATATTCTACTAGAGGCCATTCAGTGCGACACCGCTAGTGAGTTTGTTACTGACGCGCTAAGTGTGCTCAGTGTATGTCCAGTAGGTGAGTGGTAACTTTATGATTTGTTTTTGGTATTTGATTTGGTGAGACTCCTTTCGCAGACTCTCTGGGAACTCTAGCAGCCAAGAATATTTTTGGTTGGTTGACGGAACTATGCAGCTGCATGACGTCCGTTTCCCTTGAGCAGCACCTGATTCAGATAGTGGATACAGTAATTCGATATCTGAGCACTGCTGAAAGGAACATCTACGAACAAGCTGCGCAATGCTTGGCTGCAATTGCAACCCGTAAAAAGTAGGCAATTATCATATAACAGTCATCATGTCCTCATAGTAGTAAATTCCAGGGCTAGGCTCATTTCAGGGCGAGGCTAAGATCTGCCATACTTGATCCGCCCAATCCACTTGATCCGCTTCGTCATTGGTCGATCCGCTAACCGACCAATCGCGAAGCGGTTGTCCGCTTCATCCGCTTCATCCAGTTCACTATTGCTTAGTTCACTGAATTGACCAATGATGAAGCGGATCAACTGGATCAAGCGGATCAAGTATGGCGCGT